AGATATAGAAATAAGGTGGAATTAAGATTAATATCAGCTCAGTATTCATTTTGCAGTGTCGTATTTTTACATCATGTAAGAATGTAGCTTGGCTCATGATACTCAAAATTAAAAACTAGCTTATCAAAAAATATGTATCATTAAAGATTCAGAAGCTTAGATTAGGAAAGAGACACTCGATAAACATAACTGTCTGACAAATTCTAATTTAAGTAACTGAATGCATATTTTCAGGCTTTTAACGTGAATACTCATATTTGTATTAAGTGATTTATTTGGACTATCACCACGTTTGTTGATTTTCGATTTTTTTAATGCACAGAAAAAAGTGGTGATAGTCCAAATAAATTACTTAATACAAAAAATGAATGCAACTTTATTCACGTTTACTAAAACAAAGATTTCATAAAAAATATAACAAAACATTAGTAACATATCATCTCCGTATACGAATGAAGCAAAGCCTATTTCATCATGAAAAATACACCAGAAAACAAAGAAACAATTGTTTTGTTCAGATTAGTGAATATGAAAGTTTGTTCATTGTTTTCTTTGTTGAAATATATGTAAAGGTTGTTTAACAATTCTTGCGTTAATTATTTCTATCTTCTTATAAATCACGATAGAAACATAATGCTTTTCCTACAAAAAATGTATAGATCTGGTGCTCGTTCATCAGTAAACTTAATGAATGTCCACACTTTTGTTTGCGTTTTGGTATAGCTGCGTTAGCGGACCCTACATTTGAACTGATATACCAGAGGGAAGTCTATTAGTTACCAGCACAAGCAGCTAATTCTTGTCTGACCGAATAGTTGGATTTGACCATCATCTTTATAAAGCATCCACATCTTTAAAGGGAAGTAATGTAACATAAACGATGTACCAGCAGATCCACAGATTGACATTATAACCAATGGGTCACGCTCGGCCCCCATACTTTTGAGGCACGATGCGTAATACACCAAATGTATGATTCGAAGCATAAAATACAAATAAATCTATCGCCTTAAGTGCCAAAATAATATAATAATCGACTTTATTACCATGCTGTTTTCTATTCTATTTAAGGTTACGGTTACATGCTATAGGAGTTTAGCACCGACCAAAGAACATGTTTTCCTCGTGGAGTACTGTGAGCGTGCAATATTGGTAGCGTAATGCCGTTTCTAATTTCGCACCCTCTACCATAGGGAGAAAACCGGTCAAAGGCAAACTACAGCTATATATACACATATACATATTTATTAATCATAATTATTATCATTTATCGTTTATACATGAAGTTCCTAATGGAAAGAAATGTAGTACAAAAAGTAGAAATCAAGACACTCGACACCATAGCAACAGGGCAAACAAACGCAAGCTCAATCTAGCATCAACAACCTCGCAAATAATTCGGTAAAATAAGCACATTAACCCTAGTTAACTATTCTATTCTCTAGAAACTCGAAATCAATTAAAACATTTAAAACAAATTATGAAGAACATTAATATTTCTAACAACAGTCATTGACTACAAGAGCTATAAGACTAATACTCAGTGTGACGGGAGTTAGTTGATTTACAGCGCTAAAATCCGGGGTTCAGTTCCCTCTAGTAGACAGAACGCAGGTTACATATTGTGTAGCTTTAACCGAAAACATGTTTCTTATGTTTTCATTTTTTTCGAGTACACAATCTAACAATTAATACAAATAGCTCTTAGATCATAGCAGGCTTGTAGTGGATATATTTGCACTAAAAATAATTTAACGAAACAAAAATAAGATATATTGTTTACACTGTTGAACACATCTTTACTGCATTTAAATACTACAATAAGAAATGGTGGAAAGTCTTTGTAATCAAAATAAAAGTTTTTATTGCTTTCAGGGAACAAAACCATTTTCCAAAACTTTAGGTTTCGCAAATATTTTTTAAACAAAAATAAACAAGTGAATGATGTATCAATCTGAAAAGAACTCGTGACCGAAAGCACATTTTAGACTATTTAATTGCTCTAAGTAAAATTCCTACCCATTCTTTTTCAGGATCTTTGTGTTTCTTCTCCATATTGTTAATCATATTTTGTTTAAAGTACTTGGTTGTTTTATTTAACACAGTTTCGTCGAATATAATTATATTGATACAAGCATCCTCTTCTACTTTTTTTTCAAAGATGTTTTGTTTATGGATATCAAAATAACAACAAATCGAGACCAAAATAGAAATATAAATATTGAACAGCCAAACGCTTCGCATTTGAATTGGGGATCACTACCTCAAGGGGTTTAGTGTTGTTTAGAGTTACTAATGAGAAGTGGCAGTCTCCAAGATGTGTATACGTGAAGAACTTGTGACAAATATAAGAATAAACTGGGCCCCATGTTTCTTTATTATCAAATTTCACAATATGATTTTGAGAGAAACTAAAACACTTTAACAACCAAACTTACCTTTTTGTTATAAAGTTGAATTCAAATTTGAATTTACTTTATGATCAATGCATGTTAATAAGCTTAGCATCAAAACTTAGTTTACTATTCAATTTTTCTATTATTTAAATTCTAATTTATTAATTAAATATATATATATATATATATATATATCAATCTTGGCTTGTCTGTGTCACGTAGCGGAATTGTGCTTAAAATTGTCCATTTCAGAAATTCTTTCTATCCTCATGTGATTTTCTGAGTGTCCAACTACATTACAAATATGTATCATAGATATTTACAAGTCAGGATATATATACTTAGATCCTCCAGTGTTCTTGTTTTACTGAGACGTGAAAGAAAATATTAAACCTAAATGACATCCCCCTCATACCATTCTGTTTTTTTTTAATTCCAAAACATTTCTCTTACATTGCTATTGGATTATTTATAACGGATAGAAGGGGCAGTTTTTTTAAATGGTTTCTTATACTGGTTATTTCGTTTTGGTCCTAGTAATTAGATATTTAGCCTCAGTTTCATTATTTGCTATATTAGTGTTCAGCTCAAGCAGCTAACCTATTTATAGCTTATAACTTATAGTTACCAAGCCAGTTAATTATTCTACCTTTAGGACATTCTATTTTAGTGTGATAACGTTTTTGTTTTACAACACATATCTGAAAAAAAAGGTAAATAATTTTGTGGTCAGCAAACATTGTTTGAAGGCTTAGAGAGTCTCGTCGATGGACGGGAAAAGGCTTCAAGTACTAAATTTATTATCAATATTTTTTATTTATTGTTATAAACGTAACTAATGTATAAAAAATGTAAAATCGCAGGTTAGATAAAGATAACTTAAATGAAAAAAAAAGTTAAATTAAACCTTTTCGTAATACTCGATATTTTAACTCAAGCACATCCCATGATGTGATTGTATTCTTTATTTGTTCTGAATTTCGCGCAAAGCTACACCAGAGCTGTCTGCCCTAGCCGTTCTAATTTAGCAGTGAAAGACTAGAGGGAAGGTAGCTAATCATCACCACTTACCGCCAATTCTTGGGCTACTCTTTTATCAACTGATGGTGGGATTGACTATCACATTATAACACCCCATGGCTGAATAGGCGAGAATGTTTGGTGGGACGGAGATTCGAACCTGCGATCCTCAGATTGAGAGTCAAGCGCCCTAATCACCCAGCCATTTGATAAACTAAGTCAAGTTCTTAAAACCATACAAGTAATAAAGCTGAGTTCCAACATTACAACTTTAGAATATTGCTTATTACATGAGGTAATAGGGAAATTGTCAAAATATGAAAAACCTACGTACATTTTAATGTTTTTAGGAAGAAGAATTGTTAACACTTCTATTGTCATGTTAACCGAAAATTCTTATTTTTAGCAATGATAAAAAAAAATTGCAAAATCGTAAATCAGTAGTATTTTGAATGTTACATCAAAGTAACGAGTACATTTAAACACTATATCATTATACATTCTTTTCCCAAAATTCTTTATTATATTTTCTTTAACGTAAGGTACATGAAGCACAAACGTGCATATCACGATTTTCAAAGTCACTGAAACAAAGTTAAATTATAAACTGATTATGAGAAAAAATCTTCAAATAAGAAATTATCATACAATACATAAAATATTTTGTTGAATTTTAGAACATTTACAGCGAAAGATCACTTGTTAGTTATATTTTCCTGATTCAGACGTATGTCTCCCAGAGAATTACCCCAAGTGTATTTTGGTATGTAAATAAAATACGTCAACAATAACATCACTGTATTAACGCCAAAATATCTGAACGCATACTACAGAACCTAAATGTGTCATTTTATTGCAATCCTATAAGAAAATCTATTTTACAGTCACACAATGTATGAAAGTAGTCACCCTCGTACCTGCGCGTCTCGCCGCCAGAGGGCGTCACATGTATGTCGACCTCAGGCAATGGGGACAATGATATCACCAGTGAGGATGATGTCAAAGCTCCATGAAGTGTCACCAGAGGGCGCACAATGGGGAGAGTAGAGATGATGATGTCATACTTTCACAAAGTGGAACCAGAGGGCGTGTTGCTAGGGGTGCGTTGCTAGACCGCCATTATAATGGAAGTTGTGCATAAAACGTGTTTCTAGTTCTACGAAGTAAAACCAGAGGGTGCAATGGTATGATGTAGATCAACATGTCATTATAGTAACAAAGTCTGAAAGTTATTAATTTAAGCTAATCTCATAACTATGGACTTACACTTTTGATTTATAAGTAAATCATCAAATACAACTTACAAGGGCTTACAGTCGTGTAGAGCCGTATGCAGGTCACAACTTATATTTTTTGTTTTCATTTTTATATTTAGTTGTTTTACATGTGCTTTACAAAGGCAGACAATGTTACTAAGGGTAGTGTTTGTATAAGTGGAGGATGATGTGCTCATTATCTTAACATGCAATGAACGTCTATATTTAATTACACCTAGATATGTTATTGGTTTAATATAACAATAAATCAGTTCTCGACACAATATTTTTTTTAACACTTTATTATTTTCTCAATAAAGATATCGCAATGTGATCTACACAAAATAACATATCTATTAAAGATGTACTTACATGAAAACATTTTGCAACAAAATCATGAACAAACATATGGTTAACATATTTGTGGGCTCCAAATATAGATAACAGTATTCGTTTCGACACATGTCGACCATGATAACAAGCATAATATATACAATATTGTCCACCCACAGACAAATAAGTCCACGTTTTACAATTTTTCTTGGGGCATGTTGTTAGGCCATTGTAATAGGCAGACATGACAACATAATGTCAGAGACGATGACGTCATAGGTCTACGAAGTAGAAATACAATCATGATAATTTCATCATAGCTGTCTCAACATATAATCAACGGTTAGACATAATTATGATCTAATAGCAATACAGTCACTTTATGTATAAAATGTTTCACTAACTCATTAGTTTGATATTTAATACCACTTTTAGATCTCTTGGGATTTTATACATAGATCACTGATCATCTTGAAAACGACGCTTATTTAACATCCAAACGTACAACAATCTTACCGTTTCACTATTTTGTCTTTATGCTAGCCATATAACTATGTTCTTGATAAAATATTTGAATTTTTTGTTCCTTATGATAATGGACAAGAAAATACACAGCCGATTTTGATTTAACATAGTGATTATAGTTTAAGTTTCTATACTTAAGCATACCTTTTACAAGTATTATCCTGAAAAATATTTCACTAGTTTGTCTTTGTCCACATAACAATGTTCTTTACAAAATATGTCATTTCATGTATGAATTTTTTTAAGCAGACAATGTTCCATAGCACACCTGCTGTTTCACTTTCACAAGTCAACTATTATAATATACATATTGTCCATTATATAAATGAGGCAGTTATTATAACCAATAATTTATTTTACATACTTTATCATCCTGAAAAGAACTCTTATTTTGCTACAATTAAATATAATAAAAGAATAACTTACTGTTTATCCATACATTTTCAATAGAATATTCACTTGAAGAATCAAATTTCTTCTTCAGACTTCGAGACTATCTGACGTCAAGACCACTTCCAAGCTCGATAAACTTTGACTGTTAGGATATATATAAACGTCGTCATGTGGTCATACATGTACAGGCGGTGTTAATAAGAGTAATGTTTCTGTAAATGGAAGACAATGAGCTCATTGTCTCAATGTGTCAACAATGTCTAGAGAGATTTAACATAATAATAAGTTCTTGATACAATACTTTTTACAAATTATTGATTATATCACACTAAAGACTTTGCAATCTGATCTGCATAAAAAGACACGTCTATTAAGTAGGTAGTTACATGAAAAGTTTTGCAATAAAATCTTAAACAAACAGTCTTATCAGAAAATCATTGTTTAGTATTAGGTATTCATGAAATAGGGCATGAATATGACAGTTAATTAAATGGTTTGATATTCCTACATAAAGCAAAAAGTTATTCACAATAGCTCTTAGGTAGTTTATTGTTTCCTGATTGTTATAATACTTATGACAGCTTCAACCTGAGGATATTGAAAAAAATCAATAGGCTAAGACTGTGTGCTTAGATATCATTATCTCATCCTTTTTTTTTCGGTTCCTTGCTTCAGTCTGATCATACAAATTTCATACCAGATGTGCATACCTAGGCTATTAATGGCCAAGGCTAGGTCCACTTGGGTGATCCATAAGCATTTACGATTGGCTCCACAGTATCCCCAATCTCTTCCTAGAGTGAATTAAAGGCATTACTTATATCTCCAGTAACTTCAAATACGAAGGTTGACAAAATTAGCATTTTCATAGTGATCTTTGTGTCATACTGATAATTACTCTGAAATGATACTGACTAAACTTTAAGAGAGAAGTATTGAAAAAAAATAATATTAAAAACATCTATACACTGATATTTATAGAAACAATGCATGAACTCCATTCATGGATGTTTTCTCAAAATTAGTTAATATGTTTGTAAATTGTGGTTGATCTATTGATATAATCCATGGAATTTGTTTTCTTGTTTATTTTGCATAGCTCAAAAATGCAAGGGATAATCTTGAATGGCGTGAAGGATATATTTTGTTCTATCAGCAAACCAGTAGATGGATCTATGAAGTAAATTTATATTACTCTAAGTTTAAAAAAAAATCATTATACATTATTATCGTCTGAATTTTATATCTACTATAAGTTCGAGTTGTAAAATATCTATCTACATGTTAATAATTGTCAAATAGAGGCAGGTTTATACTACAATTTTGGTTATATATGGTAAGGTTGGAAACTGTTGAATATGTTAATATTTCAATGTTGTTAACCTTCCCACTATAGTGTGATATAAATTATTCTCCTCTAATATCATTCCTTACCTGGAATTAAGCATTGTGTTGTCTCTGATGCGGAACAGTTAGTCTAACATTACTTACTTATGGTAATAGTACAGCTTCTGCATGCATTACTTATGGTAATAGTACAGCTTCTGCATGCATGGCATTTTGGATGGCTCATGTTGTGATGGATCTTAGATAGTTTTAGTGCATCTCTTTATTGTCACTTGAACTTTCTGGACTTCATCTGTGTGTGTGTTTATTGACACAACTGACGACCTGATTACCACAAAGTGATTACCTCGGTGATCTTCTCCTGTGTTAAACTTCCCAACTATAATTATCAGAAAGATCTTTCTGCTTGACATAAATATGTCCTTCAAGAAGTTTTTGACCATAGCGGAGGAAAACGTAGTTTTAAGAATTTAAATAAGGACGACTGAATTCATGAATAAAATTTATTTCCAGAAACGTTTCGAATTGTATTTAATCCTAATCCTCGGCATGTTGTACAAAATAAAAACTGGTATAATATATATATTATTTAAACAAACTACAAATATTTGCGACAGATTACATCAAATGTAAGAATAAGGTGATTTTTTACACAACATATTCAAACCTAAGATGAAATATAGATACATAAATTTCATTTTCTGAAGAAAATAATTAAGAAAAATAAAAACGCAGCTACAAAACAAACATCCAACACCTGGACAAAAACCATAAAGTGAGTCATTGTGTAATGTGTCGACATGGCGATTTATTTCTGGTGTTAATAAATATGAGATTTTAATGTCATGAGATGGCACTGATGGCCCAAAACAAAAGGAATTGTCACATCAAGATAGATCATATCATATCTTTTCCTTGCTACATAAACCTTAAGGGATAAATGAGGACATGAGATACTATCTAGTTGTTCGCTACGTAAATCATGTTGCTGTAAATATTAAGTTAGAAGGCTTTCAGTAAATTTGGATGAAATCCTGTGCAGGATTACAATAGTCAACCGCGACTAAAGGCAGTCAGTTGAAGACAAGATGTCACGAAGAAAGAAACTGACAGATCATCAAACAAAAATGTTATTTCATTACAACAGCGCTGGTAATGAGAGTGCGAGGTATGTTTTGACAATAAATAAATTTATTTGTATCCTCTATAGATAGTGAGCTGACATATGGACGGCGACTGGATGTCTTGAAACAAAGGTTTGGCCAGTACACTCAAAAGTAAACAGTGCTCAGGCATATGGGTTTTAAATAACTTCTGATTCTAATGGATTAGCTTGGGATTGATGACAACCAGATAAACGCTTTGCATTTCATTGTGTCGTCTCATTTAGGGAAAATAGTCAAGTAATATTATGGCGAAGACTTATTTTGACTGGTTTGAACAAGTCCACTGTAAAACATTAAGGGACACATCGGTGCCTCTTCCTGCGACATGCGGAACGAAGCTTCAATGTTTACATTTAAAAAAAAATATTTTTGGAAAATACCATAATAAGTCAATAATGCACCATGGAAAACCGTATACCACGTCAAGTAGCGCTTCGTAAGAAATAACATTCAGCAATTGTGTTAGTCAGTCTAGAGCTCTGACCATATTCTGAACGATATATTTAACAACTCCATTTTGAAAATATTTGCAATGCTTAGAAAGAATAGGTTCCAACCATTACTTTAAATATAGCTACTTTTGCAGAGGGTTGGAGATCTGCTCCACCAGACGTGTTTTAATGTCTGACGGTAAATGTTAGAAGTACAATCTGTGATGAAAGGCAAACGTAGCCCACTTTCTATTAAAACAGAGCCTGTGTGGTAAAGCCGGTTCTCAAGGTTTACTATCCTAATATTTAGTTTAATGATGATTTCTTAAGAGATATTTTCTGTCATAGCTCTCACGAAAAACAGTTAAAATATTAAACAGAATATAAAACATAATCACACATTTAAAAATTATATTTAACGGTAAGTAAAGTAAATGCTACAATGAACTTCATTTAAGGAATTCCAGTAGAATTTCATAACTGCCAAACTTACCACTGTATAAATTTTGTAATTGCTAACTAAATTTCTTATTCAACTAAACTTTAAATATTTAAACTTTAATCTAACTAAATAAAATTATGTGCTTCTTTAGCTTAGAAAATATCTTTTATATCACAATCTAAAAAAAAAAAGATAAATGAGAAAAAATTAGTATTAATTAAATATTACGTATTTCTTAAAACATGATTTGATTGCAATGTAAAATATTATATATATATGAAAGGCAATTATATTTTGGTAACGTTTTGTTTGTCGGTGTCACTTATATATTACATTTGAACATAAAAACGTAGAAAATGTATCTTACCATTATTGGTCACACCAGCTTACAGGGGCAACAACTACCTTAATTATACAACTTACATCAGTTACCCGGGCGACAACTATCTTACTGTGTAGGCCACATCAGATATACATGGGCAACAACTAACGTAACTACATAGGTCATGTCAGTATTGTAGATTTGGGAAACATTCCAATTACTACAGAGCCACTTGAATAAGACAACTTCATGAAATAGATAAATCGGGTATACTTCAAGAATTTGTGATGGGACGTTATGCGGCAAGATATGGAGATAAAATTATGCTAGTGAGGCCTTGGACTTGTTTACTACTCCTAGTTGTTTATTACTACCCCGGATAACTGGTCTGATATATAAAAAAGTCATATGACAATTTATGGGATGTAACGCTCATATTGCACCATTCAAACTGATTTTTTTATAGTGTAAATATATATTTTTTATTTTCTCCACGTGTGATTGTTTTATTTTTATGATGAAGGGAGAACTTTGGTGAACTAAGCTCGTTGAATGAACGGCCCCTGGGATTTCTGTTTTACAAAACTCCAACTCATCATTTAAAGGTAGTGTTTATATAGAAAGCATTTCATTATAAAACATTAATGAAAGAACAGTCGATCCATGTTGTAGTAGCGAAAATTTGAAATCTTTGAACTCCGATGAAGTTTGTCGTTTATAGACTATAAAAAAGATCGTTAAGATTTCATATGTAGTTTCTATTTGAGATACATCATTTCAACTGACTAAATAATTGTTTAGGTCTGGAAGTGGGTATTATTTCCTTAAGAATTACTTAAAAATAAACATATGACTCATTTAATGAAATTACTTGGAGAACTTATGCCATTTTTGAGGATGTAGGTTTACTGCTAATCTATAATAAACATGTTGAAATGCCACTTTTCGAGTAAATCTAAATATTCTCAATTAAATACATATTTTTTTAATATTTATAAGCATAAAAGACTTTTAGTTGGAATTTGTTAAAGACCACCAGAAGAAATTGATTAAATTAATGAGAATATCTTTAGTCAAATAAAGAATGCAGATGTCGATGAGGTCATATTTATGGTGGATCTTAACTTCAGGCATATAAATTGGGAAATGTTAAAGTAAAGCCACGTTTTTAGAAACTGCTCAGGATGGTTTTCTTCATGAATTAGTTGGTAAACCTACTAAGAACAATGCTATTTTAAACTTGCTGCTAACTTCTAATACAGAAATAGTTAAGAGAGTGGGGACTGGGAACATTTGGGTCCAAATGATCATTATTCAATTAGGTTTGTTATTTTGCAGCATATGGAAATAAGGAATAATCAGATTTTGGTTACAAATTTCGAAAAAGCAAATTTTGAAGGAATGTGACAAGAATTACAGTGCTGTGCAAAAGTTTTAGGATAAGAGAATATTTTATCATTCTTTCTAATTTATGGAGCTAATTCTTCCATGTCATTATAGAGTGTAAATTTCAACACTATGGTAATGCCTGTTTACAACTGAATGAGCCAGGATGGGAATACTTAACATTCTTCAGAATTCCCATATACTTGTACTAAGGGCATGTCATAAGGGTTTTGTTTGAATGAAGATACTGATCACATTTAGGGTCTGAAATAACTGCCATGGTACCCGATGCAATGTCTTAACTATATAGAAAGAAGCTAGCAAGGAGCTAGCATATGGTACCGGTATATACTCAAAGAAATCAATTTAATAGCACTCAACAAATAAACATAGATAAAAACAGTGTCTAATACTATATATTAAGTTTTGTTGGGTCCAAAAAGCGCAGAGAATCGTCAGTAGAGCATAGATTTCGCATAAAAGGAAATTTGAAAATAAGAAACGAAGAAGCAAAACACCTAAACTCAATGATACTGATGTTAAGTATCTTTGTTTATGCAGCCTTCGGGACAGGAGGTAGACAGCCACTGATGTCGAGCATGAGATAAACGACCATGTACCAAATAACAGAAAAGTGTCCAGATGTACATTATCAATAAGTCTCAACGAGAATAGAATATTTGGTCGTGTAGCAGTTAAAAAAAAACGTTTACTTTGATCTCCAAATATTGTTAAGAGACTGATATCTGCTAAAAAGTACAAAAACTGTATTGCTGATGATTGGAAAAGGATGTTATGGACGGATGGGGGAGGGAGTGTGATGGCTTGGGGTATGTTTTTCTGCTGAGGCGACAAGAGATATTTGCAAAATAGATGGAATAATGGACTAGCGCAAGTACCATCAGATATTGATCCATCATGGTATACGAAGTGGTTTTCGTATAATTGGTAAATGATTCTACTACCAAGAAGATAATCATCCAACCTACGAGAAATTACTTAGCTAAGAAAGAAGCTGCTGGAGTCAGTTAAATGATGCAATGACCCCCAAAGAGCCCTGATCTCAACCAAATTGAACAAATCTGGGGCTTGATAGATCGAAAACTTAACAAATCAAAAGTTACGTCCAGAGAAACGTTATGGAAATGTATTAGAGACATCTGAAGTAAACTCCCAAAGGAAACATTTTTTTTATTCAATATGTTGCAACAATGCCTGAAAGACTCTCTACAGTTATTTAAGCAAAAGAGGGACACCAAATATTAACTGTTTGCTGAACTCAAGCATTTCGACTGAGTTTCTTTTGTACTAAGTATGAAGATTAATAAAATGTTGATGTCTCGCCTATGATGTACCTTCTATTGTTCTTTGAAAGTAGCCTGAAATCTAATTTCTGACTTTGTACTAACACTTTTGCACAGTACTGTATATGTTGTAAGTTAGGTTACTGAAAAATATTTTTTAGATATTTAAGACAGGTGTGTTCCTTATATACAAAAAATGTGGCTGCAAGATAAAAACATGTTGGTTCACAAAGGGTTTAAGAGATAAGATTAACGAAAAGCGTTATATATTTAAGAGATTTAAATTGATTGCTATCATCAGAGACTTAGAGAATTGAAATATCAAGATCTTTGGTGAAATTGGAAATTATGAAATCGAAAAAACTATATAAAAAAGTTTCGCTGAATATCTAAAATTCAATAGCAAGGATTTAATTAAAATCATTAAGGGTAACAAAATGTTTGGATGGGAGGATGATACACGAAGGTTTATATTTGATGATTATGAGATGGCAGTTCTACTTTTTTGATGTATTATACTAGTAACAAGAGTTTCACTTGCTCTTATCTATAAGGCATAAATTTATATACAACGAAAAATTTTTGAAAGCTATGTTAATTAATAGCATGAACAATTGAACATTAATTCCATTTATGTTGCATCGAATAACCACTTTTTTTATAGTCTTTAAGCAACTTCTGCAAGAGAATCTTGACTCAAACTAGCTCTCTGAGGCAGGTACTTACATTTATAATCTCTACACAATAGTACACAATGAAATTCTTGAAGAAATTCAGTGTGGAACAACCCGATTATGGGACAGATATAAGCTGTAGAAATATTGTTGAAAGTATAATCTATATACACTACTCAAGATTTAGTTATCAGCGTTTTTCATTATTAGCAATTACCCAAAAATAGATTTTTTTATAAAACTAAGAAGGATATGTGATGTTGTTGATCGCTTTGACACCACTTTGTTACAATCATGCTATACTTGCACTTTCTCCTCTTTTCTATCTTCCTTATTTAGATTGTACTTATTCCTATTAGGAGTTGACTCATACTAATATAAAGATTACAAATCACTGTCTATGACTATAATCAATAACACATAGATTTAGAACACGTTTTTGTTTCTTGCTGGCTCATGTTACTTTCTTCCTTCACCTCTCTTGGTTTATTCATTCTCTCTCACATCCCCCAGTCTTCCTTTCTTCTGTTAAACTCCTCTTTTTTATATTCCTCTCTCACGTCGAACATGTCCCTTTCTTTCTGACCTTGCACAGCTGTTTTACTCATATATCGAATTAAAATGTCTTATAATCATAGGAATATCGTAATCTCAACATCAGCTGAACAAGAAATGTGACCGCTCACTCCAATAATTTTATAATGCCTTAAAGTTCTGTAACCCCTTACTCTATCAGAGACAAACCAAAGCCAACTGCTTTCTTACCTCTCTCATTCCAAACCAATGTTCCTTACACCTAACTTCATGACAGGAAAGCAATGAGCTTTAACAAATGTTGAGTCAGTCAGTATTTAATTTGTAACTTACTTTGACTCATTTGAACTGTATATTCTTCAAATAAAGAGGTATTCTTCTAAAAGGATTCCCTACGCCATGTGATTTACTTTTAAACTACCCGAACACCCAAGTTGCATAATAATAACCTAAACATGATTTAGAGGAAATTAAGTTAAGAGTAATTATAAATAGCCTCGGTATACTGTCCAAAGCTGGAGTGTTCAAATTCTGAGTTTTAGACGTGAGCCAAATTGTTGTTTCCCATGTTTCAAATTCATACAAGATGTCTGAAAAGGTAAAGTAAAGATACCGACATGACCGAAAGGAATGACAAACCCAAGACTAGAATGTTTACTCACCATACAGGCTCACCAAGACCTTTCCAAAACGTACAGAAACTGATAATAACTGGTTCATAAAGGCTATAATTAGGATCCCATTGATCCAGCATCACAGTACAACAATCGAGATTGCGCTCATGGGCATCTCCCTAGACCCCATTCAATACTGAAAGCCAGTGCTTGGTTAGGATGAGCTCAGGGTTTGCCTTGACTTTACAGAGAAACGTTTGAGGTATGACCTTGGGAGCACTAACGCAACCAGATAAATTATTGTGGTTTACTTGGTTACATGTTACTCTGGTGTGTGGTTTACAGTTGCGTACTTGATACGTTACAAAATAACTTTGTTTTGCCATTTTCGTTCTTACATATATCTTATTTAACAAAATCAAAAATAGACATATAATATATTAACAATAGTACGTCTAACAGTTTAAAGTTAATTTTAACAAATTGTTTATTTTTACTGTTTATCATTGTTTGGTGTAAAGTAATTGTTTTCTATATTAACGAATTAAGTAATTATTCTCAAAACATAAATATTTTATCCAATCTAGTGAAGAACATTACTTGTAATGACAACTTTACAAGTAAATAACAACTGTTTTTGTGTATCTGTTTTATCTTTGATATTTGAAACAATTGTTTAATAAAACAAACAATAGCTTGACACTTTTTATCGTTTCTTCAATCTCAGAACTATAGATTGTCAAACTATTTTTAGATTTCTGATTATTTGTTAAGAACTGGGGATAAATTATCATTAGCACACAACGCTTGCGTGCATATTTTAGTAAGTTAATCATGCATACTTTTACTGTAACTTTATTGTAATTTTTCTAGATATACTACAAATACGTGGATTGTTTTCTTAGGCTTCACTACTATGTAAACACAAAGGTACGTACTGGTCGGAGAAATGATAATGTTGCGTCATCTCTCTATAAGTCTCTCGCTTTTATGTGCGTGGTTAATACTAGATAAAACTCAGGACAGGAGACCAATTAAGATTAGGATTTATGAAGTAAATGACGATATATCTGGATATATAATAAGTGGAAAAATTATTACATTTTTGTAATCCACTATAAAAAAAATATGTAAGACAGATGCAACGCAAATCTTTTATAGTTATCGGCTACTTTAAGCTACTATATATAAATGTATACATTATAAATACATATAATGAATAGGTATGATATAATATATTGTATTTTAAGAAAATCAACTCGACTCAAGAACACTGTGTTTCAATACTCATTCAAATCATATAATTTTACAGAACATTTCGCGCTGCAAAGAATGAGCAAATTATATGTCAATAAAATTATGTTAAACCATAATCTAACTTGTAAAAGCAACTATGGTAAAAAATATAAAAATCCCTTCAAGTTTTACTTGATTGTGCAATAATTAACGTTTCTAAAATCCGTTTATTACACCAATAGAAGCATTTTCCAATTTTTCCCCGTTTTATTTAAATCAACAATGATAATGTTGTAAACATCATAATATGATCTGCATACTTCTCAGATATGTCTTATAGTTATTGTTGAATATTATGAACTGTGATGTTATTGTTATTTGATAAAAAGATTATTTCTATATTTCATCTGTTTCCTTGGGTAACTATTTAAAAGAAGCAAAACTAAACAATAAAATACCCATTCTAGGTTACGTAAAACACTAGCAACTGAAAATATTTATCAATGTTATAATCAGATTTTCCCAGTATAACAGTTGTCTATATAAAATATTCTACTTCACATTTCTTATCCTTATTTCAGTATTGTGAGATAGCAACTACTATTTTTGTTATGGTTATGGCTATATTTACGTTCATTTATTATTTCCTTCAACCGTTTAGTTTATCTACGAATTTTTAGTTGCATTAAAACGCTAACTCACCTTCTAGCTAATAACTTGTATTTTGAGTAAATACTGTATGTGTGTATGATGAAATTGATACCAGCTTTCGTAGCAATGACGTACATATACTATCAATGTAACAGAAGGTTATGTAAATTTATTATCACATGAGGTGTACTCTCGTGACCTACTCAGTAAATAGATACTCTGCCAGAAGCTTCATTAAAAGAGACAGTCACTAGATAGTGAGCGATACAGTTAATGAATGATTGCTGTTTATCACTGGATATTGTTATTAACATTAGTATCAAAACCTGACTAGGCACGTGTCTATGAACTGTGTTTTGGAAAGTGTTTAATTTATTTCAAAGTGTTTTTATAGTTCAATAAATTGCTTTTCTGCTGTTGTTGCTGAACACTGATTGTAGCGGCGTGTTCATTTTAAATATTTCACGGTTACTTATTTGTAGGGACAATATTACATTAATTTATTCGATAGTTTTGTTACTTTTCTTGCTGCTTCTTCTTGATAATATCTAGTATTTATTTCTTTATTTCATGCCCTCTTCTAAAGTCTAAACTGTTTTTCAATGTTATGTACTTCCGAAATTCGCTCAAACATTTTCCTTGCCTGAAACTTATCACGCATTCTGATACCAGAGCGCTGGGCCATTATTAAACTGTTAAATCTTCTCATGAGTCTAGAAACAAAGTACTTTCGACGTTGTATTTCAATTTTTCATCCTAATTACCTTCAATGTTCATCATTCCCTTCTTTCACACAACGGCACTTGACAACAGGATCGAGGGAAGAAAGCAAAGTATCAGGTACAACATAACAGTCGTTACAACAACAACAAAAAAAGTGAGCCCGGCATGGCCAGGTGGTTAAGGCACTCGACTCGCAATCTGAGGGTCGCGGGTTCGAATCCCCGTCACACCA